TGTTAGTTCTTTCTTTATTCAAAATAATAATTATAAATATATCGTCACAGTGTCTCAACATAAAGTGTAAGACTACTGAATTTATTTCTTTTCTCGATTGCACACTAGTCAGTAACTAGTGTAATGTGTCTAGTCCTATCTTCGGTGCAGACTGAATTCTATCAGTCATGTTTGCAATGTGGCCACCATGCTAGGTGGCTCACCATTACGGTGCACTGTGAATTGTTGGTACTCGATGGTTGGAGGCAATCGGCAGAAAGCCTTGGACCTAGGTTTCGTGCTAGTTGGCACTCATCAGCAAGGCGTATCTGCAACCTTGAAGGAACTGACGTCCCCTCTGAGATTCGAACCTGCGTCACCCAGTGCTGCAGTGCTGCACGAAACCTAGGTCCAAGGCTTCCTGCCGATTGCCTCCAACCATCTAATACCAACAATTCACAGTGCACCGTAATGGTGAGCCACCTAGCATGGTGGTCACATTGCAAACATGACTGGTAGAATTCAGTCTGCACCGAAGATAGGACTAGACACATTACACTAGTTACTGACTAGTGTGCAATCAAAAATATCCAATACAGTCCTACAAGAGGTCATTCGCGAGCCTGATTAGCTCAGTGGTAACGTCTCTGGCTGTAGCACTGGGTGACGTGGGTTCGAATCTCAGAAGGGATATCAGTTCCTTCTAGATTGCAGATACGCCTTGCTGATGAATGCCAACTAGCACGAAACCTAGGTCCAAGGCTTCCTGCCGATTGCCTCCAATCATCTAATACCAAGAATTTATTTCTGTACAGCTACAATGATGCGTATTAGCCAATCCATATATTCGATAGTCTTTTATATTTATTCATATGTAACATATTTTAGAAGACGAGTTAAGCAAGCAAATACGTTATGATGAGAATTCTCATGAGGCCTTACAATTAGGTAATAAAGTATTAGTCTGGGATATCTGAAACAATGTGGATCAATAGAACCAAGTAGATTGCGTATACCAGTTGGAGTACAAGGGGAAATAACTACAGTCTCATAGCGATTAGATGATAGAATAATGATAAATTTTGAAACTAAGGCTAAAATCGTAGCAATTGTAGCACATTATAATATTGATAATGAAGTAAGCAATACGGCCATAAGCGTGCAGCTAGGCCTTTCAAGAAAAGTTCTACAAAAATGTGACCTAATTTCTTCATCTAAGGAAGCGCTGTGTTTGGACCTCGAATCCAGGTGTCACTTGCCTCCTGACATCCTAAATGCAGCACTGGGTGACACGCGTTTGAATCTCACAAGGGACATGAGGCCCTTCAAGATTGCAAATATGCCTTGCTGACTGGTGAGTGCCAACAAGCGTGAGACCCAGGTCCAAAACCGATTGCTTACAATTATCTATTACCGTGATGGCAAGACACCTAGCGTGGTGGCCATACTGCAGACTTGACTGATAGAATTCAGTCTGCAATAAACAAAATGACTAGACACAAGACATTAGTTAGTGTCCAATCAAAAGATTACAAAATCTCTTGAAATGATACTTGCTGCAGGGTCGATGAGGGTATTTTTCCCATCCGACCATAATTCTACAATCACTTATATGAAAATATGCAACACTGTGTTAATTCATCCGCTACTATGAAATTAAGTACATCGATCATTCAAGGCGGGTTATATCCAAGAGGGTTTGAAGAATGCTAATTCACCCAGTTACCGAAGCAATGAGATAGGATGTTATGTAAGAACCACAAAAATAAGTAATTGAACACCTCTTCGATACTGGTGAATTATCTTGACGGTCTCTTCTCCTTAGAAGACGTCTTTTGAGAGGAGAAATGACCCACCAAAACAACTGGTGCTGTCATCAAAATACACAGATCAGAGATGTATTCATATTCTAATGAATCTTGTTCACCCATTTACAGTAATCATAAAATGTTCAACAGTTTAACAAGGATATAACAGACGAAAGTTCATCACGTTTAATAAGTGAATAACTCAGCTTTAGAGGGACAGATACATAGTATCAGGGTTTAGCTAACAACTTCTGTAACAGATAATCGGTAGTTAATCTGTACACCACTGCTGTAGACGATAGAAAATAATATAAGTCGAAATCGCATTTATGGGACTATCAGATAAATTATTTGAATGAGGGATAAGGGAGAAATACAATAAAAAGAGGACAACCGATACACTAAAACCAAAAGGGTGGGTTAAATTAAGACCTAGTTGTAGATAACATATGTGGCTTCAATTTTGGAACAGTTGTACACTAGGAACAACAGTGCCTTGAATATTATTCAATCTTTACTATTCTGGTGGCCCTTTGTGTACCACCTACTACTATTTGTAACATCTGTCCCCAGCTCTTGTTAATTACAGAATACGTTTTAAGCAAGCCTGTACATATTTTCATTAAATGTTCACCATTCAAATGAACTGTCGTCAAGATTTGACAGAATAGTTCTAAAATATTTGTGCGCCGAGTGAGAAATAGACATTTGTAAAAAATTATATTTGTAACATCTCAGCGAGATTGAAATGAGTAATTCCAACGTTTCGTTTGGCAATCTGGTCCGAACTTCTTCAGGGAAATTAATCGAAATAAACATAACATATGTTTATATATAAAAAGAACATCACTTGATTTTAAAAATTTTGTCCAATCATGAGTCATTCAAAAAGTATCAACAAGTATAATAAACAAAATTTTATGAGCTGTGATCAAAATTTGACCTCGGACTTACAAATATTGGTCTACCTTTGTTAAACACTTTAAACAGAGTATGTATGTGTGTGTGGGTGAACAGTTGTAAAACATTTCTTAACCTTTCCATAAGAAGAAGTTCGGACCAGATTGCCAAACGAAACGTTGGAATTACTCATTTCAATCTCGCTGAGACTTTACAAATATAATTTTTTACAAATGTTCACCAAACTTTAGAATTGCACAATAAGATAGTAGTCAGAGACATCTGAAACAATGTGAATGAATAGAATCAAATTTAACCACGTAGAATATAAGTAGAAGAATGGTAGTCATAAAATGTGAAAGTAAGACTGAAATAAGCAACTCTACCACAGTATGATACTGGTAATAAAGTTAGCAGTACAAATAAAGATGCTATTTAGATTCACCTGCATTATCCAAAGAAGTGAATATTCTAGATTGGTGTTGGAGGCTCTGGAAGGGAGAGGGATTAGAAAAACTCTGTTTGAACACAAAGATTGAGTTGAGAAATGTTCACAGCTACTAACTACCTCAGTTATGCTCAGCAGTCGAAGGCGTAAAATCCTAGCAAATTGACTTTGCGAATTGCATTGAATTCTAATGGCTGAATTTTTATCAATATTTTGCTTCTCATTCACAAGGTGTTCGAATATAGGACTGCTGAATAACTTTATAACTCCTCTGTCCAATTGCGTCGGACAGTGCTGGAGAGAGCGGTGGTAAGCTTTGCTAATTCATCCTGCTTATTTAACTGTTTCCACAAGAAGTGTTCGATTTATAAATAAATGTACAATAAAGTGGCCAGGCTTGATAGATTATCTTTCACCTACGATGTAATTAAATGATGAGTGGTGAATATTAAACTTAGTATTATGCACCCACTGGGATTCGAACCCAGGTCCTTCTGGTTGCAAAGCGAGCTCGTATAACATTAAGCCACTTGGACCTGATCTAATGGCCCATGAATTCTAACTTCTGCCAATTCACGACATAGCGCGACCGCTAGCCAATGTCTTCGGCAAGTATTTGTCCTCACGCCCGACCTGCTGCACCCTACTGGTCACGACTTCTCACTAGAACCCCAGGTAACTACCTACCTGAATAGGGCAAGTCGCTAGTGAGCATCTCATTGATATTCAAATGTTGGTTTGTAGGGATTTGATTGGTTACAGAATTTTCATCATGAGCTGACATTAGTTAAAGAACCCTTGGCAGAAGTTAGAATTCATGGGCCATTGGATCAGATCCCAGCGGCTTAATGGTATACGAGCTCGCCTTGTAACCAGAAGGTCCTGGGTTCGAATCCCGGTGGGCGCGTACTGCTGAAGAGTCCCAAACTAGAACGAAATAGCTGTTCAGTATTCCCAGGTTTTCTAATGGTTCTCTAACTAATGTCAGCTCATGATGAATATCCTGTAACCAATCAAATCCCTACAAACCAACATTTGAATAGTATTATGCCTAAGAATGTTTTAGCTATTTTTTTCGGAGTTTTTCCGTATTTCAACGTCGAGTGTATTGGTTGGGCTGATTTTCCTAGCATGGAACATCAGGTTAGTGATGGGATTTCGTTTATATACAAGAGGAACAAACTGTCTGAAATAGGTGTGCTGACCGACCCATGAATTTTCTGTGTAAAATATTCCTCTTAATACTGCCATCCTGCTAACGTGTTAGCTGAACATCAAGAACTGATGAAGTTGTGTCTTTCTCTGTTTCGTGTGTGAACTCGATTTGTAGGCCACCGACGCTGGACATTTGAGTAGGGCCTCTGTATGGATTTTGTTTTTATGCAAAATAAAAGTGTCGTCCATGTATCTCCAATTGAACTAGAATTCTTTGATTAGATTTTTTCAAATTTCTGTGAATTAATAACTTTATTATGTAGCTGTAAAGCCTGATGAGAATTTACCAAACACACATATTGGCTTGCTTAAATAGTGTTCTATAATTATCATTATGAAGCTACTTAAATTATATATTTTGGTGTATTAAGGTTTAATGATGTTCATGCTTGTTCAAGTTAACTGTGCATTATATTGGAATTAACTGTCTGGTGTGTGTTGGTATGTTAGCCCTTAGTATGGAAATCTTGTGGCCCCATTGGACCACATAGTGGTCAACGCTTTGTTTTTTTGAGACAGTGGATGCTGGGTTCGAGTCCCATTTTCACCGTTTACGTGTATACATTAGTATCTTTCTGTTTACGTTCATGTTTGTTCCGTTCTTTTTTTTTAATAATATTCAATTGGTTACTTACGTACGTCTATTTTAGATTATGGAGAGAACCAAATACATCCGATCCTGAAGGTATTCTCGTGGTTACCGCGATTTTGATTACACTTGCAGTAAGTTGACGAAGTTATTCTTTTTGTTTGCTTGCTGAGTGGCGGGAGGGCTGAACACCGTGTTTTACAAATCAAATAATAATATCCTCCTAAAAGAAGAAATATCTGTAAGAATTTTTTATTCCTTTACGTTCCCAGTGAACAAAGAGCTTCAAGTTGCAGGCTTGAGGTTTTGGTAGCAGTGGTGTTTATTTTATGGGGTGAGATTGCTAGCTTCATGCCCAACCTCCCCTCTTTACCAGGTAAAGAAGTGCTTTGGTGGACGAAGGATCAAACCCGCTGTTAGAAGTTAGTCGTCCAGTAATGACGTGGAGGTCATGCAAAGGGGATATGCAAAATTTTCGGGTCTGCAGAGAACAGGATGAAGTGGTGATGTGCTGTAGAAAATCTATTTACGACTCGGAACATAAGGGAAAAATAGGTGCAATAATAATGATGATAAATAACAAAATTTCTGCTGAAACTACTGATTAATTTGTTTGACACTTTATATACTAGTCTGCTGTATCCTCGGGGTTGCGGAGTCATCAGAAGCATGTTGCCTCACCAAATGCTTTCGCCACATCATCTTACGTCGTTAAACCAAAATGCCTCCATATATTATTATTATTGCTTCTTTTACTTACTAGAGGAACACAGGTGTTCAGCCGCACGTATCCATTGCGTTTGGTCCTCTACCTGGCTCCACGGCTGCCCACATGCTTTCATCTCCTCTTCACATTAACTCCTCCATGTCACCCTCGCACTGACGACCAAATGACTCGCCGGTTCCCATTTGGGTTCCACTCGAGCATTGGCCTGGCGTGTGATGACACTGGACGGTTTTCTCAAAGTATTGCCACCAACCCACCTCCATTTCTTCCTGCATATTTCTTGCACAATCTGTTCCTGGTTGTTTCGCTCATTGCCAGATATCCCTCCCCGCTGCTGATCTTTTCTGCAGACCATCTGATCTTGAGTATTGAGCGTAGACAGCTGTTGATGAAAGTCTGTAGTTTATTTAAAGTGCTCTTCATGAGCGCCAAGTCTCTGATCTATAAAGTAGCATCAACTTTACATTGGAGTTGAAAATCCACACCTTATTTTTCATGCTGAGTGCTATTGATCTCCACACAAACTTGAGAGAAATGAAAGCTTGTCTTGCTTTCCCGATTACTTTGATATCCTCATCAGTTCCACCTGTAGTTGGTACTATGCTTCCCAGGTAGGTGAAGGAAGTTGATTATTCCAGACTCCTCCCACTTATACTGATTGTTGTCTGTTGTTGTCGCTGTTGCCCAGAAATCCTCATCACCTCTTTTTTCCCTATGTTCACCTGAAGTCCTATCTTTAATGCTTGTGCTGCCAACTTGTTGCTTTTCACTTGCGTATCTTCCAGTTTGTGGAAAATCAGACATATATCATCGGTGACGTCCAGATTCTCTTAGTTTTTTGTGCAGGTCCATTTTATGCCTGTGTCTCCGTCGCCCACTGTCTGTCGCATTATCCGGTCTATCACAATCAGGAAAAATCATTGGAGATAGTAGGCAGTAAGCCAGCTTGTCTTACTCCCGTCTTCACTTTGAAGGATTCCGTGAGTTTTCCGCTGTGGATTACTTAGCATGCAGCGTTAGCGTACAACTGTTGGATGAGGTGTATAACTGTAGTAGTAGCGAGGTAGCTTCCAAATCAACTCTCGATCAACGCTGTCGAAGACCTTTTCAAAGTCAATGAGGTTGACATACAGAGGTGACTGCCATTCCAAGCTCTTTTCAGTGATCATACGTAGTGTTCCGATTCGATCGACACATAACTTCTTTCTCCTGAATCCAGCCTGTTGTGGTAGAACATTTTATTCCAGGACGTGTTTGATTCTCTCCACATATTTTATGTTGTCAAAATCGACATATGCATTTATTTATCACAAATTGCTAGAAGTCTTCATTCATAGACCATTGGATTGGGTCTCAGTGGCTGAATGGCCTAAAAGCCCACCTTGTAGACGGAAGGTTCAGGGTTCGAAACCTACTGGGTGCGTACTCCTAAAGAGTACCAAACCAGGACGAATCAGCTGTCCAATAACCCTAGGCTTTCTAATCGTTATCTAACAGATTATCTGACTAAATGTCTTCGGTTGGTAGACTGGTCTTAATGGGTGATAGTTGTGAAGGGGGAATGAAAATTTGGTGATGTTGGCAGGATGCGAAGCAGCAGCCTCCGAATTAATAGACCGACGCTAATATATATATATATATAAATATATATAAACGCATGAATTTCTCTTCCATTTAAGAAACTTGTACATTTTTTGTATGATTATTATTATTACTGAGAGTCTCATGTCTTTCCATTATACACCCTGTATAAAAATGGAAAATTACGTACACTCTGACAAAATTATAATTCTAATACTCACCCGCTTATTATATTTATTTTCCATAGTTGGTTTGTAAGAATTAGTCTTGTTTTTTACGAGTTCATCACTGATTGATATCACCTAGAGAACCACTGAAAACCAGGACAGCTGTTTCATCCTAGTTTGGCACTCATCAGTTGTAAGCACCCAGCACAGGGTTTCAAAACCAGAATGTTCCGCTTACAACCGAGGAAATTGGTTGGCGTCACGCCAAATCACGAAATAGTGAGCCACTGAATCGAATCTCAGTGGCTGAATGGTATACGAGCTTGCCTTGTAACCGGAAGGTTCTGGGTTCGGACCTTGGGTGTCGGTGCGTACTGACGATGATTCCCAAACTAGGATTCAACAGCTGGCTGTCCAGTACTCCAGTGCTGGTTTTCAATGGTTCTCTAACTGATATCAATCCGTGATCAACTCGTAAGAAACAAAACTAATCCTTACAAACCAACTATAGAAAATTAATCTGATGCTCGCTAGTGACTCGCTGCGGGATAGAGATTTCTTGGAGTTCTAGTGAGAAGTCGTGACCATTGACGTCCATCCAGTCAAGTTAGGGGATGGACGTCCCACTGACGACATTGGTTGGTGGTTGCGCTAAACCACGAAATGGCAGAAGTTAGAATTGATGTTTTGGCCACTGAATCGGGTCCCAGTGACTGAATGGTATATTATATTTATGCAGAAAAATTAATTAGAAAGGATGAGGATATAAAAGTGAAATGAACTCAATGGAAACGGCCAAAAAAATAGACAAACAAAGTAAAATTCACTTTTGTTTCTGCTGTACTTTTAAGGATAAAAGTGTTTACAGATGCGCATAAAAAAGGGCTTTGAAGAAACAAAAAATAATAAAGATGGAAAACTAGTTGCTAGATGATCGACTAACTAATTTATCAAGCAACTTTTTTCTGCTAAATTTTATCAATTGATGGTTGAATTATCAGAGGTTACTATCAATACTACTATTACTCTTAATATTAGTAGTATAAATTTTTAGGAAGTAAGGAAAAGCACTTAGCATCAGTTAAACTGTATATACAGTACTCATATTTGTAGGAATTCGCGTTCTGACCTTCATTATCGAACCACCAAAAGCAGATGTTGATAAAAGTCTTCATTAGACTGATTAAAATGCTTTCTGTGACGTTTGGAACACGTTTCTGACCCATTTGGAGGAAGTGACATTATATTGGTATTTAAAATTCGAATTTTTTCGCTTGTGTTGATTGTACAAGATTTCTGAAGTGATTTCGCAGTGATGACCATCTGCCTGGCTGGTTTTGATTGTCTTTAGCTGAAATGATGCTTCGCAGATAAGTGAATAAAGTGAGCTCTTTCAGATTTCTCCCGTTGCTGTTGGTCGGAGATTTTCATCCCTTCTGTGTTCTCCATTTTATTATTATTATTTATTTCACGTTCCCAGTGGAACATGGGGCTTTAAGCTAGAGCTTTGAAGTTTCGGTAGCAGTAGAGTTTCCTTTTACTAGATGAAGTTGCTAGCCTCATACCCAACCTAACCTTCCCTCTTTACTGGTCTTACTACTGGCTTAGTGAGGTAAAGAAACGCTTTGGCGGCCGGGGATCAAACCTCGAACCACATGAGGTGTAATTGAAGAGCAATCTACCGCTGTGCCACAGACGCACCTCAGTGGACTTATAATGTGACTAATTTGGGGCAGTAGAAGATTCTTTGTAACTTGATTGCTTTTGAATTTCAATATAGAAAAAATCCCTATTTAGGCATTTAGAAAACAGAAAGACTGAGCGAATAAATATTTCCTTTTCAATTTGATCCTCATCTCTGGCTCTACTCTAATATATATATATATATAGCATTTTTATTACAATACACAAAAGTTTACCAATCAACCGGCAACAATAACAGTTCCGAAAAAACCAATGGTCATTAAACTGAAGTTCCTTGGTGACAACATAAGTGAAATAACGACACAGCGCTTGAAGAATGCAGTTAAAATAGCTTATTATGCAGCAGAGGTACTCTGTCTCTTCACAATCACCCCTATTTTACGTTCGAGAAGTAAGGATAAACTGCTTCAATTTGCCTCCTCTGTGTGTATCTACCAGTTTGACTGCAGCTGCGGAGTCAGCTACATATGGCGTACAATTAGGCAGGTTCATCATCGTTTATCCGAACATCGTCCAACATGGTTAAGCAACGGACAAACAAGATCTATTCGTAGCTCTATTGTAGCACACCTTGTAGACAGTGAGCATAAGGTTAGTGTTAATACAGCATTGAAAATTATCTATCGCATTCCGACTAATCTTAATTTTGCTCTACGAGTTCGTCTTCTACATACAGCTAAAGCAATAGGATTCCACCTGAAGAAGCCAATCTTGTGTGTTCAGAAGAAATTCGCACAACTATTTTCCCTGCCTTGGCCATCGTTACATGACTGTATAAACCGGACTACTTCGCCCCCCTCCCCCTAAACCTTTAAAATTATAAAAACTACAATTGTCCAAATTATTTAATTAATTTTTTCTGACCACTTCATCTTTAATTACGTGTTATCCTTGTAAAATTAATTTATTCTAACCATTTCTACCTTTTAGTTGTGTGTGTATTGATTTTCTTCGTTTATTATCAACCCATTGACATTTTGACACTGTTTAATTATTGTTAACAAACATATCAGTGCCACTTGATTGGTCAACTTTTGTATATTAGAGTCAGAGATGAGGATCTAATTGGAAAGTAAATATTTCTTCGATCAATCTTTCTGTTTTCGAAATGCCTTTGAATTGTCAAGTCACACTTCAAATAAAGATATAAAGATATTTTGTCATTTTAGTGAAAAGTAACTGGCAGTGGAATCTAGGACGCGCATTACGTCCCCTTTGGGACGTATGTATCTGCACTCTTCAGTGAGACTTCCACTAAGACTTAAGGCCAGGACACATTGTTTCAAAGACTATAAACCTTATCCATTAGACCCCGTGAAATAACCACATTTTATTCATCAGACGTTGTCGAACCGTCTGCACCAGGAGTCGATATGTCAAAGAAGACTAAACATTTCGGTTCAATATTGTTGGTCATTTTTTCCTTTACGTTCTGAGAGGAACATAGGGCTTCAAACTGGAGCTTTGCAGTTTCAGTAACAGTGATTTTATTTTAACAGGGTGAGGTTGCCAAACTCATGCCCAATACCCTCTCCTTGACAGCTTCACTACCGGCTTGCTGGTGTTTAGGGGAACGTCGGCTGGGGATCGAACCCTGAACCACATGCATGATTGTCGAGCGTCCCACCACTAAACCACCGAATCATTTATCAGTCAAGTGGCAATTCAAATACACATAGTTTGCGCATTATGATAGGATTACATTTCTAGTTTCCTTAAAAGTTACAACTTTCATTAACGTAATAGGAATAAATTCATTAATGCTGTTAATTCTTTTCGTGTTTTTTTCTGCCTTGTTTTGTTTATAATTCCTCAGATTAATTTCCTCATTATGTTCATAACAATATTTATGCTTCTAACAAAACTTCGAGGTCAACCAAGTGGAACAAATCGTAATCGAGCGCCGAGTGGTTATAAAACCAATGAATGTCGACTGCTTCGTAGTACATGTCCTCCACCATTTTCATCATCAGTTAATCAAAGTATAACAAGTAAAGCTACTCCACTGATGACGCCAACGATAACAACACCACTGACGTCTACACCAATGGTAAAATTGACAAATTCTTTGAAAGAAATACCATTACCGAATGAAATAACCCAAGATGGCGAGGATAGAAATGCTATTGACAATACTGATAACTGTGACTGCAAAAGTAAACTGATTAACGGAAATGATAAGTCGGAAAGTATCACGGGCAATACTAATAATAATAATATTGATATGAGAAAAGATATCCAATCACCATTAAATGAAATTGAACCAGAAGTGGACTCATCAGCGACAACAGTCACAGTAGAAGGACACAGGACAAAATACTTAAAACCTTCATTGAAACGATCTACACGATCAGCGTCTGCTACAGCTGGTTGTATTACCCCACCGAATCCAAGTATCTCTGAAGCGCATCCAAATAAAGCGCATATAACAATTATTACAGGAGATAAAAAGATTTCAAATCACCATGTTTCAAGAATTAGTACAAGTAACAATAATAATAATAACAATAACGGTACTAGTTGTGATTTTGACAGTATAAAATTCAGTGGAAATTCTTCTTCTATCCAACGCGTACGAGGTGATAAATACTTACAACGTAAAAGTATGGAAACTAATTGGGCATCTTCTACCTCTTCTTCGTTAAGTGTCAAAGAATTACGGTGAGTAATTGACTATTGGTTGTATCTTTATTCATGACTGCGTTTCTGATATACATATATAAGGAATTGTTGATCAATTGTGTGAAGAAATTTAACTCAAAAACAAATTTTAGTATTGAACTGTAATGTAGCGAAGGTTGACACCTCAATGAACTCAAATCATTCAATAATAATAATTTGCTTTATTCCAGAAACAGTACTAATAGTACAGTGTGGAATTTTCAACACATATCCACAATATTTGCATCTAATTTTATTTAACTTTTAAAAAGAGGTATTTCAAAAAAATAAATATGAAGGCAACAACAGCAAAAAAAACACAAAAAACACAAAAAAATTTTTAAAAATGCAAAAAATACCAAGAAGTAGAAAAGAAAATAAACAGCATAAAATAATATCTCAGTATTGGGTAGTGGAAGCTATGATGTAATTATGCATGGTGATAGTAAAGCTTTAGTCATACAAGAATTATGAAATAATATTTAAGAATGTTTATCGCCAAGATGATCAGTTAATTTAGGTTGAAACAACTCTAAACACTCATAAAATAACATTTCAGGGTTGTTGTTTTGTTTTTTATTGTCATGTCTAATGAGGTGTTTGTAGTGGTAGTGTGAGTAATCCTGCATAATACCAAATTTTAAGATGGTGATAATGGCGTTCACAACCGATGATTGTCGGTTAATATTGCCGAAAAAAATAAGAAAAAACAAGCACAAGACTAATAATTACAGGACAAATTTGTACTACTCATAGTGCTAATATAGTCGGAACCAGTAGATACACAAAGGAAGGAATACAGTAAAGTACAAAAAGTAAGCCAATGTTAATAATTTAGGCAGCTAAGTATGTTTAAGAAGGTGTTCACTATAGAATACAAAATAAGAGAGAAATAAAAGAGCCTAAAATTATGATTTTTAACAACAAAGCAAGTCATAGGTTTCGCGCTTAACATTGTCTCTGCCACTTAGAACACGGACCAAGTATGGTATCGTTGAGTTCCTGTACTTGGTTGTACGAGCATAGATTATTTTATATTGATTTCTGGTTCTACTTGATGAGATACAAGGCGAGAGTTAGGAATAGACGGGGTGTTGGGGGTCGGAGAGTATGGTTTCAGACCATTTTTCGCATGTATTCAGATGCCTTTCAACTAATGTAGTGATGAGCTGACTGAGTTTTACACCACTCGTCCTACTAACTACCTTCAACATCCTTCTCAGGATGGTATAGTCCTTTTTCAGTAGCCCAGGAAAGACTGGTGGGGTGCAGTAAAGTAGAATAGGTAAGATACAAGAGTTGACAAATTGTGAAAGTAGAGGTTGGGTGATTCCAGATTGTCTAAGTTTCTTAATGTAGTAGATTAGAGAAACAACTACGAACATAAAGTATTGGGCAAATGTTTCGTCTTAGTTTATCATTCCTCAACAGTGCACACCCACCATCCCATCCGGGATCGCAACGTGAACCTTTAGTTTTCGAGGTGAACCCACATTTGATTCAGACAATAAGACGCAACTCACTAGCCAATCCATAAATTCCAACTACTACTACCGCGTCGTGAGCATATATCGCGACCACCAGCTTATATCATCGCTTAGCGTTAATTCTAATGTCGAACTTGATGGCTTCCTACTGCTCATGTTTTCTTGTTGAACTATCAAACAACTTCAGGCTGTAGTCGGTCACTAAAGGGTTGTAGACCAATTTCCAAGCGTTCGTTTTTTATGGATTTAATTCATTTAAAGCTGAATGACCAAAATGTTTGCGTTTAGAGAATCATTGCAAACCAGGCAAATCTCGGCAAATGTTTTGTCCAACCTCGGGACTCCTGAGCAGCATGTACCCACCATCCCACAGCCAAGGATCGAACTATGGACCTTCCGTTTTCAAGGCACGCTCACTGAGCATTTAGTGACTATGACAGAACCAATGGTCAGTCAGATCTTACACTTGTCAGTTCTCAATATAAAGCACACCCACCAGCCAATTTCTTCGGGGAGTTTGTTTCCTCCCTGACGAGCTAGTGAAACCCCAGTGATCAAGACTTCCAGGTGGAACTCCAGGTAGCTTCATTTTACAGTCAGTCACGAGTGTGCAATGGATTAGTTTTCAAGCGTCAATTTCCAGAATAGGCGGAAATTATAATTTGATCGACTGGCCATTAACTTCCCTCCCAATGTACAAGTGGTCGCTGGGTTCAACTGGTAACCTTAAGTGATGGGTTCGATTGCCGGTGGATTTACAGGTATACACTAAAGAAGAGTCCCAGACTAGGACAAAACAGCCTTCAGGCACTCCATGATCCTAAGTGTTCCTCTAAATGACGTCCAGTTCTTAATCAAACAAGAGTTCAACAAACTTTGAGTTATTTGACAACTATCTAGTGCTGATCAGTCGTTTGAAAAATAAGTAGAAAATACTGGGAGATATGTCTTCATAATTCATAGGTTTTTCTAGAAGTCATCCTTCAGTGTTGACTTGAGGCATTCTTACCAATTTATGACTTATGTGATGAGACAAGGAATAATTCCTTTCTCCATTATGCTGTTGAGAGAAATAATGAAACCTTAGGAATGAAACATTCCAGCTCAGAAAACATAACAACACCAAAAAATGTTTTGGACATCCATAATATATATAACTAGAAACATATTATCATAGAAAAGTATTGATTTGTTTTATAATTATGCCTTTGGGCTCCGAGTGGAAAATAGGGCTTCAGCAACACATCTCTACTTTCTTCAACTCGCCACTGTCCTCTTCACCTCAGTTCACAAATGAGAGTAATCTCTCATCTCTTCCTCCCCAAACTATCTAATCTATGCGACCCTCACACTGAAAACCCACTCATCTCTTCCATTCGGATTCCAATCGAGCGATAGCCTGCAATGGGCCTGATGTCATTCGACGGTTTCCCGAAAGCTTACCCAATCCATCTCCATTTTCTCCTACATATTTGTTGAGCGATCAGCTCTCACTTGACAGTTTGCTGCCAGCCAGAGTTTCTTGTTGCTAATTATTTCCCACTGGCCGGCTGGTCGGCCATTTCCTCTTCAGTATGGAGCCAGTGAAGTGGGCACCAGTTGGTAGAAGTCTGCAGTAGCCTGTTGGAAATGCTTTTCGTGACGCACACGCAGTGCAAGTTTCTGACCCATACAGAAGAAGTGGCTAACTGACTTCACATTTGTGTTGAACAGAATCCGAATCTTGTTGTTTATGTTGGCTGACAGGGTGCACGAGATTTCCAAACTGGTTTCAGGTTGATGAAGACGCATCTGGCCTTTCTAATTCTGGCTGACTGGCTTTAATATCTTCTTCCGTGTTTTCCTACTGCCTGTGGCTGAAACGACGTCTCCTAGCCGGATAAGTGAAGGAAGTAGCCACTATCAAATCTCTTGCTTTGATTGTGATTGGTGCTGGTTGTTGCTCCGTCTTCTCTGCGCTCACCTGGAGTCCTGTCTTAACTGCTTCTTCAGCCAGTTTGTTACTTTTCACCTGTAAGCCTTCGAGTTTGTGTGACATTAGGTATATATCATCTGCTAAATCCAGATCCTCTATAGGCTTCTTATCGGTGGTCTGTTAAGAAAATCATAGTTGCTTTTGAACTAATCAGCTTGATACCATAAGTAGTTATCAAGGAAACAATTATGAATGCATAGTATTGTATATACTACTGATTGACTCATATGAATGATATGCTGGATACTACTCAAATTAACTAGTAGTGCTTTTTAGCTAGATCGAAGTAATCTAAACATGGTGTGGCGAGTGCTACTGATAAGATTAATCAGTAGTATATAAAGGGACGTTCATCAGCATAAAGACATCAAATAGCAGGGAAATACATTTGATGTCAGAGAAGAGTGTTGTGGAGTGGAAATACATGCGAGACGTGAAAATAACACAAAAAAACGCAAACTCACACACAATATGAAGGAAGGCAAGAAGTAGTACAACACTAAAGTTTTGTGCAAATGGTGCGTTGAAGACAGATAAGGTGTACATAATTTGGTTAAGTAGAGATACCTAATTACAAATAAACATTCGTTTACCGAGTCTTCGCCTTCTACGTTTCAAATGGACAGCTGACTTGTTCCTTTGAGAATGAGTTCATCAGACGTGTACTGGGTATCATTTAGTTGAATTCTGGCTAACCGATTCGGTAAACTGGTGACACACTGAAACTCATAAGCAATTTGAAAATTAATTCGCCATGTCAGTAGGATTTGATTACTCAAATCAGTCAATCAGTAGTGTATAGATATTGACTTTAGTTTATAATATAACCCTTAACACGGATGATAATGTTCGAAACTCTTCATTCTTTCTCTTCTATTTATTTAGCCGATTTTTGTAAGTGAGAGATGAGTGTATCATTTTTATTTCTATGCTTATATTTACAGTAAACATACAATCACCTATTTTGATAAATAGCGTCTAATTAAGATCAGTGGCATCCTTGAGGCATCTCTTACAGTAGCCTATTTTTGCTGTCAGTGACCAAATACAAGATCTTAACGCCTTCAATGAATTTTAAACAGAGTAAAGAATTGGTGACAGCGGTGACTACCAGTAAAATCAGAAACACCTGTTGCATCTTATTGGGTGTACACTTTAACCAAATTTGAAGACGGTATGCAGATACATTGTTTCATTGGACACTAGTTAGTAACTAGTATCATGCGACTAGTCCTTCGTTTGGTACAGACTGAATTCTCTCTGTCAGTTAAGCTTACAATGTGGCCACCATCCCGAGTGGCTCGACATCATGGTGCTTTCTGGGTTGTTGTTGTTATCAGATGGCTGGAGGCAATCTACAAAGAGTTCGGCATGACCTAGATTTCGTGCTAGTTGACATTCACCAGTCAGACAGCAAGGCGTATCTCATATCTCTACTGAGGTTCGAACGGTGTCACACACTGTCTCAGTCACAGACAGTACAACTGAATTATTCGGGCTCCTGACTAACCTCCTATAGAACTGTATTCCTGTACGTTCCCAGTGGAACATAGGGCTTCAAGCAAGAGCGCTGAAATTTCGGTAGCAGAAGTGTTTCCTTTTACGGGATGAAGTTCCTAGCCCCATACCCACTTCAGCCTTCCCTCTTCATCGGTCTTACTACTGGCTAAGCGAGGTAAAGGAGTGCTTCGGCGACCGGGGATCGAACCCCAAACCACCTGCGTGGTTTACGAGCATTCTAACGCTGTGCCACCAATACACACAATAAAGTTAAAAATGTTGAAAAAGTGTAGAATAATGATCATTGTGTTGACAGCTAAAACTGCAAGTTAACTGAAATAGTTTCACCATAGACTACATATATCTGAGAGGATAAAAGAGCCAAATATTCTGACATAACATAATAATTCGTAGATTTCACGCTTAACACTATCGATATTATATAGAATACGGGTCAAATAAGGTATTACAGAGTGTTTGTATCTGGTCGTGTGAGCATGTAATCCTTTATAATGATGTAAGAGGAGAGTTGAGAATAGAGAAAGTGTTGAAAGTCAGAAAATATGAATTTAGACCTTTCCTCACAAGAGTTCAGGTGACTGTCGATTATGATAGTAACAAGATGATAGAGTAGTAGCATACCACCTACCTTATTGACAAATTTTCATATCCCTCGCAGTATGTCAAAGTCCCTCCTGAGTAGCTCAAGAAAGACTCAGGAGGCAGCAGTGAAAGACAGCACGTTAGATGCAAGAGTTAACAGACTGTAAAAGTAGAAGTTGAGTGATTCCTGACTGTCTTAACTTCATAATGTTGCAGGTAAGATGAAGGTTTTTTTTAGAAATTGACAACAAGATATGCGATGACCAAGAAAGCTCAAAGGATGGAAGTATTTCAAAGTATTTTATGCTTGACTTAGTGTCTGTTTCTAACTTGACTAATAGAATTCAATCTACTACAAATAAAGGACTAGACATATGACACTAGTTGCTAACTACTGTCGAGTCAAAGTCCCATAGCAGGTCAGTCGTGATGTCAAAAACCACAATGGTGGTATCCCTGACCGCAATCCTGGGTAACATGGGCTCAAAACTGAGAAGGAACATAAGTTTCTCCAAGGTTGCCGATACACCTGATGACTGATGAGTGCCAGCATGCGTGCAACCTAGCGTCAGGCAGGACTTCCTGCCGATTTCCTCTAGCCATCTAATAACAACAGCGTAGGTGTCTTCACTTGATAAAGCCTAAATCAGATAAAACATATCCTCCGGATTCTATCATGAAAACGTATAGAATAAGTAACTTTCACTTATAAATGTAGGCAACATTGAAGCAATTCGAAAGCGCCTTTATTCATAATTCTTTCTCAATTGAACTCCTTCCAAAGTTTATGATTTTCTGATGTTCTCAGTTCATCAACCGTGTCTTACGTTTGTTTATTCTTCGCCTTCACCTTTCTTTCGCAGGAAAGCAATAAAAGCGATAATATTTTTAATGCCATTATTGGGCTACTCTCAACTTATATTTTTAATACCATATCAAAGAGATTTAGATCCTATATTTGATTATATCAATGCTATTATGCTTTCTACTCAGGTAAGCTTAACATTTGTTATTAGAATATTACTTCATAAAATCTGTAATTTATGCATTTTCAAGTATTCTTAGTACTATTGATATAACCATCTTGAGGTTGCGAGTGAAACATTGAGATTTAGTGAGACATGTTTAGTGCACTGCTACTTTTTTTCAACCGGCTTCATGACTGACCACAAAAATTAATTTCGTCTTCATACGATCGCCTCTATGTCAACCTCGGATAAAACCCCTAACTCGTCACTTCCCGTTTGGGTTCCATTCATGTGTCAGGAACGTGGTGTCAATCAGTGCTCTCCTCATAGAATGTACAATTCACCTCCATTTTCTTCTAGACATATGTTGAGCAATAGCTTCTTGGTTAGTTCTCTGTTAGAGTCTCTTTGTTGCTTTCTAATCATATCAGGCTGGCTATCTGATCTTCAGCACCTAGCGAAGCTGATGATTCCATATTAGATGTATCACACAGTGTAACAGTATTATTTATTGGATGACGTTTCGAACAAAATTTATTCTTCATAATTATATCAACTTTAATCACACGACTCCGGAATTTGAGTTTTATGGTTTTCTTTGTCCTCTCTTATTTGTCGTAAGGGTAGTAGAATTTTCCAGATGTTCGGGTGGACAAGTGTTGAATCATTCCTATTACACGTATTTGCAGTCGAATCGATAAACAAAGCTTCTGTTATCAATCTCAACCTCCACTCTCTTATATTAGATTTTGAAATTGTCATCTTACCCCATCCCATCCTACTGCATGGTTGTGTGTAATTGCATGTAGTGAGTGGCACAGCTGAACTATTCTCTAGATTTCTTATCTTATTCGGGTCAACCAATCTATATTTTGCTAGGTTTTTATGTTCGGCTAGTCTGACTGCCCCTGTTCTACTAGTTTGATCTATGAATTTGACCTGACAGTCATTGCAGGCAGGGTATTAGACAAACTAAATTGTTTTGTTTTAAAGGTTCCACAGGATTGATCCTTAAAGCGACAAAGCTTGTTTCTAATTGAGTTTGTGGGTTTGAATGCCAGCCACTTCCATTCCTGCCTTGTTATTTTAGTTTTACATTTCCTTAAATATTTCCTGACTAATTTATCAGGGTAGTTATTAAGTTTCAAAGCTTCTTTTATGTGTATCACTTCCTATATAATGTCACAGTAGAGTAGAAAGGGAGATTGATAACAGAAGCTTTGTTTATCGATTCGACTGCAAATACGTGTAATAGGAATGATTCAACACTTGTCCACCCGAACATCTGGAAAATTCTACTACCCTTACGACAAATAAGAGAGGACAAAGAAAACTATAAAACTCAAATTCCGGAGTCGTGTGATTAAAGTTGATATAATTATGAAGAATAAATTTTGTTCGAAACGTCACCCAATAAATAATACTATTTCACTGTGTCATACATCTAAAAAAGAAACTTATATAGAATTGCTTACTACCACAGTACCAAAGTTTTACACATATGTTAAAAAGCTGGTGGTTGTTGAAAATATGTAGCAATCTGTTAGAAATGCTTTTGATGACACTTGCATCAAGCCTGTGAACCACATACAAGTATTGAATTAACATTAAATTTAAAAATTCCAGTCTCCTACCTTACACCGTACAGTAAATCACCATTAATATTCCTTTCGACATAGTGAAACTCAGACTTGCTTTATCTAGGTCCTGTAATGTGTTTGCGTAACAAATTTCAAACACTTTGACCAAACATTCACTTGTAGTAGGAATTTTTTTGGACGAATTAATGAAGCCTCTGAGGAGTGTTTCGCAAGTGAGGAGTGGAATACACCATCAAAACCCGGCATAAAGTAGATACGATTCACAATCAGTAAATTGGTTAGCAATTGGAAGCAATTTGAGCTGACCGAAACCACACATGCCGCTGATAAGCTCGGATCCAAACAAGAAAAACCTCTGCCCAGTGCTTGCATCACTTCAAACTGGCTAGCTGGCGAGGGCTACAGATTAACTTTAGTAGTGTGCAGTTTATAATAAAGTAGATCCCTCCCTTTTCACCATTTTAAACCTATAAGACCTCTTGTGCCCCAGTAATTCCATCGTAGACTACTGGCCAGCCATGTATGCCATCTGGAATTCTATCCTTGGTCAGTGTTGCACTGTTTAACCTCACTCATCTGATAATAAGCTCTGGACGTTGGAGTCAGGATAACATGCGCAATAGTGCCCTGCTTAAAACGTGGACTAACAAAATCTCCCACCTCTCTACTGCATGCATTTTCTCTCGTTATGCTATGTTTAAGAGGATTTAGGTGTGACCTCTAACGGTATTGTCTACTCTTGTGTGAATTTAAAATGCTGACAAGCTCCTGATTAGCAAGTTTCTATTAAACTTGGGGAAAGGCTTGATTATAAGTGGCAACGTCTCCCAATACATGAGATAACTCTTCTTTAGTCAATTCCTTGGGTCTCAAAATGTACTTCTGTACACCTTACAATTGACGTTCAACTAGATCCTGTGGGTGGGTTTCTTGAAGGAGACAAAGCATTTATATATCATAATGGAATGGTTTGTGCTTCATCAGCTCAGAGAGCATTGTGTCAAATACAGGATATACTGTCAATTATTATTTTACTTGAAGATATTGTACGAGGGGAAATATCATGCAATACACTCCTATGAAAATTCTATACATTATATAAATACTGTCTAGATGTTGTTATTATTAATAATAAAAAACAAACTCCACTGCTACTAAAACTTCAGAACTCGAAGTTGAAACCCTCTTGGGGATTATACCCATAATTTTGTAGTAGCTTTAATTATTAGGAAACATGAGCCAACTTCCCCTTGATAAAGTTTGTTTTGAAACCACAATTAGAACTGACGGGTCATTCATTGTATCCTATCCTAGCAAAAATGAATAGTTATTGAGTTCGCTTCTTATCTTGAAGTTCTGAGGTTCAGTCTCTCGCCACCCCGTGTACGAGAAACACGGATGCGTACTGGTGAACAGTCCCAAACCAACACGAACCTGTCCTCTTGTCCTCCTTGCTTTTCAGTGATTCTCTAACTGATGTTATCTCGTGATCAAACTTGAGAGCTTTTCCCCTGTTTGAATTTCTACCATCAAGAATTAGTAAAAGCTTTATATAGCTATATATTTTATGTAAGGGCATAGTTCGACACATATTGATGATAAGACAAGTATTAGGCGCTGAATACCTTTCCGTATATTTCGACGTAATCATTTTTTAATTTAGAAATTCTATCGGTTTTGCAAAAAAATTTATTTTGATGACATTATTCATCAGTACCCTGATGTATCGTGCTGAGAAAATCTGCACAACCGACAATCTTGACAATGAAATGGGGGAAACAAAAAACTTATTGTATCACGGTCTCCATGAGGAGATAGGAAGAAATGCCTACAAACTCTGCAGAAGAAACGGATAAACATGACTTTGCCCTTTAAAGGAGACACGTCAACTGAATTGCTGGCATCGAAACTCCGAAAAAAATAGCTAAAATATTGTTTTCCACAATACTGTGTTTGAAATTTACCACTCGTTGTATAATTCCAATGCAGATGAAGGATAAGCCAGGTAGTTTGGCCACTTCAATGTGCATTTATAAATTTGACTGTCCATGTGTAGATAGTTACATAGGCAGAATTACTCTTAAAGCCCACCGTCCCCTTCTGGAGCATTGTTCAATGTGGTTAGGTAGAGGAGTCGTTAAGTCAATCAAAAGTTGCACAGTGGCACATCTAGAGAATAAGGAGCACATGACTGACAAATATTCGGCTTTTACAATTGTATACAAGGTGCCACCTTAACTCCTTAGATTGGTATATTTTCTGTCGCTAAGCTTAATAGAGGCGGCTTGTCATGAAGATTTTTCAACCTAATCTCTGTATGCAGAGAAGGTTGGTCAATCCCTCTCCCTGCCTTGGCCTTCGCCCCCAACCTAAAATTAGTTATCTCTCCCAGTGACATCGGATACCTGTAAATATTATCTTATTATATTTTCATTTTATTTTATTTGTAATGCTTACTGTGTTATGAATATCATGCTCCGTTTCACAATTTATCATTATTATTAATAGTATATAATCTATATGTGACAATAGTTATTTCCCCGTCTACCCGCACTAGTATTCACATTCTACCGATACACTTACCGTTGTCTAGATTATATAAACACTTGAATGAATTTATCCTTGTTATTATTATTATTACTGTGATCACCTCGATTGTTGTCCACTAATTCACACCTCTGAACTTTGATCCTAAGTATCTTATTAATTACATTAATTCGAATACTTACGACTGATTTAGATGATACTTTTTTAGTGCTAAAACGAGATCTACACAATTCATTCTTGGAGAAACTAAACAACCTATCTCCTAGAATCCAGTTTACTTCGGAAGCAGAATCAGACTTCAGTGAACTACCATTTCTAGACTGCCTAGTTAAGAGGAGGGAAAACGGACATTTTAGTATATCTATATTCACGAAGAAAACCCACTCCAATAAATATTTAGACTTCGGATCATCACACCCCATCAGTGCAGAGGTATCGGGTGTTTCAAGTCTCCTTAGACGAGCGCACACTTCGATAACAATTGAGAAAGAGAAAGAAGAAGACATATCAAACATTAATGAGACTCTCAAGCAAAATAACTACCCAAAGAACTTCATCAACAAAATCAACACTGGCATTAAATATGGTCGAAAACGTATTCCGAAAACATGGACCTCAACAGTTGTCATTCCATATAGACCATCAGATACGTCAAACGATATCAGAAGAGTACTTAATAAGCATAACACAAGGGTTTTCTTCAAACCACTGGACACACTGAGAAGCAAACTTGTCCATATAAAAGGCCAAATTCCTAAAGATTGTCCACCTAATTGTGTCGACAAAATTAAATGCATCGGACAAACATCGCTAGAGAGAAATCAAGGTAATCAGAAGAAATGAACACTGTAGCACCGCCTCTTTTCGACCACCGAGAAATCCCCTTGAACAAGAAAAGTTTGAAAAATGATCAGCGATAGGTCTATGCAATATGGTAGAATCAGGCTACAAAAATGATTTTGACAATATTGAAATAATCTAAAAAAATTTCAGAAATCACAAAGAACGTCTCGTATCATCAGCACTTCATATCAAGTGGAATCCAAACAATCTGAATAGGAACGATGGACTAAAACAAACTTTCACCTGGTTACTACACCCGCCTCTCACATGCGGGGACAAAATCAGCACGAATGTGATAAGCAATTTCATTATGCAATCACACGCTGCTTTTATAATGTTATACACTTATTAATTCTAACAATCTACACCTGGTTCTATTATCTTTACCAACTGGCCAATTTGACAACCGAAAAATGACCCCATACTGAGGAACGACGATTAAGTTGTTATATATAAGCTGACATTTTGTAAATTCTGGTCTAATAATACTGCTTTCATAAAGCTATTGGCAACAGCGTCAAATAGCGAAACATCAGTAAAAACAACAATGTCGTTTGGTTTTTCATTCATTGGGAAATACAAAAAATCTTTATTATAATGTATATCGCATATACCCAATACCCAATTTTTTCCAAACTGTTAAAAATGAACTTTGTTTGGACATATATAACTTATGACTAAAATTTCATCATTATGTAAATGTAAATCCTGATAAAAATTTACTGTAAATGCGTATGTGCTTAATTAAATTATCTTTTATAATTATCATTGTATGAAGGCTTAAACTGCATAAAAGAACTCAACGTAGGTTTGAAACAAACAGCCGGAGTTAATTATTATTGCTGTCAATCACGTTATCTTGATTCATTCAATGTAATGTACTCAATTTCACCGTCTTCTTTCTTTTTCTTTTAACTTCTGCTTTCAAAGGGTTTCTGGGTTGCATTAATCTACTGTTTCTTGAACTCAGAAGTAAGTTATTGATATTGACCTTCTAAGTTTTGTAAAGTTTATCTCTTTTGATTTCTATATACATAATTGTATGCATACATATATATATGACCCTGAATGTCATTCCCGTAAGTACGCGTTGGCGGCAAATTTGCATCAGACGACACAATTATTTATTTTTTATTTTTTTAAATTTTTTTAAATTTTTGATTACAGCTTTATTCCACACAGTACTTTTGGTAGAAGTATGGAATTTTCAGCGTGGATATCGGTAGCCCGAATTTCAGGCCGACCATAGATATCGGGTGTGCATCGGCAGGGGATCGAACCCTGGACCATGTGCATGGTCGGCGAGAGTCCTAACCACTGTGCCACCGACGCACATTGGCATTCATAGGCATTTGGAACAATGTGCATCAATGAAAACAAATAAAATAAAGGAGAATGCAAACAGTATATAATAACAATAAATTGTGAAACTAAGGTTAAAATGTGCAGGTATAACACACTGTTAGATTGACAGTTAAGTTAGCAGTATAAATGAAAACAATGTTTACAATTATCACACCTCCTCTGAGAGGAAGAACTACTCCAAGGTGGTTTTGGAGGCTATAAGTGGGAGCGAGATTGAACAAACCATTTCTGATTTAGTTGAAAAATGTTTATGCCAACTGCCTCAATCATCTCATGTTTTGCAGTCGAAGAGGTAAAATCTTGGTGAATTGAGATGACACCTTGTATTGAATTGTAATGACTGAAGTTTTATCAATCTTGTTTTTGATGTCATTGTGTTCTCTGAGCTGGATAGTTAATTTGTCAAGCTTTCATCGCCGTACTAGGCGACATCTTCAGCGCATAATTCAATTTGAAGTGAGATTTTAGATCTCTCCTGGTGGGTGACCTTGGACGTGATTGGTTGTTTTTGTGTGTTTTCACACCTTCTAGGTTACTTGTATTGGAAGTGATTGTTTGTTTGACTTGAACTTTGACCCTTTGTGTGTGAGGTTTCTTTCTTATCGGTTGATAAATTTTGTCTGTCTGGATGTGACTATTGACTCCAATGCATCATCAATCAAAGTTCAAGACAAAGAAACAATCACTTCCAATACAAGTAAACTAGAAGGTGTGAAAACACACAAAAACAACCAATCACGTCCAAAGTCAGCGGGAGAGATGAATAGTAAACTCGAGAAATCTAAGAGCTCACTTCAAACTGAAATATGCGCTGAAGATGTTGCCTAGTAGGGCGGTGAAAGGTTCGCAAATTAACTATCCATCTCAGAGAACACAACCACTTCAAAATCATCCACCTGAGCTACAAATCTTCTCTATCAAATATCAATCTTGTGCTTCACATCCCCAAGGTGTTCCAGTATGGGACTCCAGATTGATTTTATGACTCCTCTACTTAATTATGCTGGACATTGGTGAAGAAGGCGACAGTAGGCTTTCCGAGTCGTTATACCTATGTAGTTGTCTTCACAAAAACAGTTTAATTTATAATTATACACTGAGGTAGCTAGACTCGGTAGCTTCTCATTCACCTGTATTGGAATTATACAATTTTAAACACCGTGTTGCAGCAAAGAATGTTTTAGCTATTATTTTTCAGCACTTTCATGTCAGTAACTCAGTAGCTGTGGCTCCTTCGAACGATGAAGTTATATAGACACACTTTGCTTACGCGCCGTTTGCAGGCATTTCTTACTGTCTGTTCTCTTCACGGAGATAGTGACTAAGTTTTCTGGATATCCATTCTCATATAATAAGTTTTCTGTTTTCCTTATTTCGTCGTCACGAGTGTCAGTTGTGCAGATTTTCTTAGCATTAAACATCAGGTTACTGATGAGATTTCGTTTTCATGCAAGAGGAACGAACAGCCTTAGCCTTAAATTCAAGAAAAAAACTTCTATAATTGATCCAAGTTACAATTTCATTAATTCCGATCTCCTGAGGTTCTCATGAGAAGGCATGACCGGTGGAAATGACCATATCAGATAAATAGCAGATATTTATCATTAGCATTAAATGATTAGGGCAGTGTAAATTAATAGTCAACAGGAGTTGAAATTTATGGGCGACTGGATTCCTAACTAGCAACTGAATTGTCCGGGGGATTGCCTTGCAACTAGAAGCTCCTCGGTTATATTTGAGGGTACTTATTGAGGACTGCTGAAGAGCCCTTGACTTTCAGTGATTCTCCAATTTTCACGAGGTGGTCAGCAGGCTACGTTCGTAGACCATGGGGTTGTGTCGAAGTATCAGAGGAATGGTAAGCACGCTTGTCTCGTAATCTAAATATCCTGAGTAGCTTTCCAGCTGGTTGATGTGTATGTACTGCTAAAGAGAGCCTAATTAAGACGTATTACAATACGAAAACAATATTCAGTGAAGAGTAAGAGACACTCTTTTCAACGAATTTATTATCAAGCTGTTCATTCGTATGCATACATTGTTACTAAGAAATTATATCCCGTGAGGAGAGTTAAACAAGAGGTGTGAATACATTAAAACAAAATAAAAACACAGTGTGAAATGCAATTAAGATGTTTGTAATTATAACCATAGTTAAACATCAAGTAGCATAACAAATAATAAGGTTGTTATATGCAGAATGGTTTATAGAATGTATAGATGTTCGAAGGGTGTGTTTTTATAAAATTATACAAATAGTAGACAAATGTAAAAAAATGTTACAGAACATGATGTGAAATTTGATAAGATAGAATTTAACATAGCAAAAATATTTTCGATTGAGAAAGACAAGTGGAATAAGTGCAATCATAATAATAATAACGAAAATTGTTCAAAGGGAGAATAACAGTAATAATAATAATTGTATTAATGACGAAAAGGTACTTAGACTACCGAAATAAGTAAATAAATAAAAACACAGTAATTTTCTGTTCAGAGAAGAAATTTTGTTTTCAACGACTTCATTTTCAAGCCAACTGTACAGTCGTATTTATATTACAGAAAAAAGTTATTAAGGGGCAGTAAATAATTGAACAAGGCATTAAGAAGAAAAATTTCGCGTGAGATGATATCGTCATTTTGTAGTTTCTTTACAATCGCCTTACAACTAACATGGTTAACAATAATAAAATAAAGATCGTGACAATTACTCAGTTAAATAAAAAACAAAAGTACATACTAATAATGACTAATCATATTTAAACAGGTCACGTAGTCCATGGCAGGCAAAGATTGAAGTCTATTGCTTTTGTACACACAGTTTAGACTGTATGTGATTAATCCAAAGTGCTTCCATCACCTTCAATAACCAACCTTGAATTAGAGTTATGTGGTGAAATAATTGTGAAACAGTCATTAATATTGATTTTGTGACCTGATATTAATAAGTGTTTTGCATTGGATGATGCTGGATTTCTATTCAGATTAATCGCGTCGGGATTTTCTGTATGATTTAGTAGCCATTTTGGAACATGTTATTTCCAACGACATTGGAAAATTCTGTTGGTTCTACCTATATAGGTGTCACCGCAGCTTCAGGTGAACTTGTAGATACAGTTTGAAGCAAAGTCCATAGAATTTCGTCCTTTAATCGTAGGTACAAGGATCGAAAAAGTTCGGCAAGTAAGAAAAAGAGAAGCGGCGTAGAATGTGCTCTTGATGGCTCACTAAAGTCTTTGAGCTGTCAACTGCATAATCTGGTTGCCCTTGAATGGTAGGTTAATGAGGATAGCTTTCTTTGGTACATAAGCTATCTTTTCGAGATGTGGTCTTTCTTTACTGTGACAAGTGATAGAGGTCTCCGGATTACCATTAGCCAATAAAACTGAATGTATATTTCGAAACTTATCCATCACTGTGTCACTCGTGCATATTTTTTTTGCGCCCTTGAGAACAAACATTTCACTAGGGAACGTTTATACTGGATAGCAACAAAACTGGTAAAATGAAAATATTGTCCACTCCATATCTGTTTACGAAAATAGATCGCTGAATCGTACCATCATCTCTCCTAGTCATAGCAATATCCGAGAAACCGAGTTTGTTATTCGATTCTAGTTCGGAAGTCACTCGAATATTTGGATGAATATGATTAAATAGGGTTATAAAGTTTTCAATAGATTTACTATCACACTAAATAATTGCTCAGTCAATAAACATATATATAAGTGATAAGAATAACGATAATTAAAACGTTAAAAGGGGTAGAGTTGAAGTGGATGAATTACAAAATTATTGAAGATTGTTTTATAAGTGAATTGATATCAAAAATATTTTGTTTTATTGTCAAGTGTTGTCTAAAATTTTTATAAATTAGCAGTATAATTACGATAAGGATAAAGATGTGAAGTGGAATGAATTCAAGTGGTAAAATAAAATAAAAACTAGAAATAGCATTACTTCAACCAAGGTAAAGAAAGGGGTTTGACAAAACGTTTTTGAACACACAATTTAATAATAATAAATAAATATTTTTTTCCGCTATGCCCAAGGTAGAAATAGGGATTGTACATACTTCTTTTGAACAAAAAGGTCTGTCTTGAATTCATGAATGTCCAAGACCTCCTCGCTCTCTGTGTTTAGAAGTTTAGAACGATAAAAACGTGGCAATACCCTCTGGTTATTACAGATTCCTTTAGTCGAGTCAATTCGTATTCAAAACTAACCCACATTAGATTATATCGATTTGTGATGAAATGTACAGTGGAATATTGATGATGGTTTCTTTTTTTAATACTTACCCACGTCACTGTCTTGTCCAACATATTCCTTAAAAGTGTCAGTGAAGTCTGAAAAGTGACCACTATCGTACCCACTAAACAAAGAAGATCTACATAAAAAATTTCTCTTTTCTAATTCCTTTATGTTCCCAGTGGAACATAGGGGGCTTCAAGTTAAAGGCTTAGAGTTTCCGTAGCAGTGGCGATTATTTTTACAGGCTGGGGTTGCTAGCCTCATGACCAGCCCAACCTTCCTCCTTTACCAGTCTTATTACTGGCTTACGGAGGTAGAGTAGTGCGTTGGCGGCCGGGGATCGAACCCAGGAC